TGATTCGTCGATGGTGATTGTTTGCGGAGTAACTGACATCCTTAAGGGACTAGGTATCTACCTGGGTTCGTTTCTTGAAAATCCCGACAGCTTTTTAAAATCTAGCTTTTCGACATAGGCCGAAGATTGCAACATTTGCACTATGAATCCTGACTCGTCCCCTGCGTCTCTCAGGCTTCTATAAATATCTTAGGCTGATTTAGCAACTGAACGGGAACATCTGTTGACGACTGCGCGCGCAAATCAAACAACTGGATTGACCAATGGCAAAGCGACAAATTGGGTACCGGAAGTCGAGTTTATTCCTTTCTGCGCGCTTACCCGTCGTCAAATGACGTTCCCGTCCTGTTGCTAAATCAGCCTAATAACGAAGCTTGAAGCTCTGTGTTAAAAAGAAAATACGTGTTTACACGTAGCAGAATATCTACTTTATCAATTGATAAGTTTAGACCGTCTAGAGATCCATATGACCCATATTGCTCTTTCAAATGTTAACATTGCTGTCAGAACTTTGGCTCCGAGTCATTGTGTTCTCATCGATTTTCCTTAAACCAGACATTGAACAAGATGTAATACAGACTTGACATTGTAGAGTCGCGAACAAATTATCTCTGCGTGGTGATCTCCACTCGGCTATTAGAAATTCCCAAGGGAAGCCAGCTGTAAGTGGGTCTGAGCACACTGAAATGTGAAGTCACAGCAAAATTCTCTAGAGTGAAGTTAACTCAAGCCACCAGATACTTAAAGGTCGTTTGACCAGATTAACAATTTATTGATCTTCCATGTACCGTACACAAGCGAGGATTTTGGCAGTTTGTTTCACATGGAGTCCATTTCAATCTCGATTCACATATTAACAGTTTTTCATTACATCACGATTCCAGGCACCAAAAATTGTCGATCACGGCGTCACGACAATAAGCTTGCCCCCCCCCCCCCCCCTTTAGAAACAGACCATAGTCAACCTCCTAGCTTCAACTGCTTCAACTGTTAAGGAAAAGAAAGATGAAAGAAAGAATAACATAGTTGAACTATAGGAAACTACGTGAAAAGGATATATAACGTTGCGTTTTTTCATGAAAATATGACACCTTAGCTCGATCGGCAGTGTGGAAAAAAAAATTGTAAGACGAATCTTTAAGAATTGGCCCAATCTTAATTAGAGACCTTTAGATTCTAACACGAGTACGACAACGAGTACGAGATTTTCTCAATACTAACGTTTTTCCGCCAAAATGACGTTGGTTCACGCGCAAGCACTAGTTAGCACTGAGAAAATTTCGTTCTCGTTGTCGTACTCGTCTTAGAATCTAAAGGTCTCTGATGTCGAAATGGGGAAAACGAGTTATCAAATGCTGAAAGTTTTATCATTTTAAGATCGCGAGAACGCGTAACTTCCTTCACTAAAGGTAACAGTGCTAACTAAACTTTACGTAAAATCTCGTAATCGTAGTCTTTCTCGTCCCTATAATCTAAAGGTCTGTAATTAGTAGCTAGAGGGATACATGTTCAGGTCGTCTCAAGGGTAGAGTAAATCACCTGTTGATTTCATAAAACGCAAACAATATTTTAGGTGAGTCACCTGAAGGGCAGATATTTTGGCTGAACTATTGATGACCCCATGAACACTTCAAACGAATATGTCTGAAGTCAATTATATAGGACAGCTACGAGCTGCACTATGTTCTGGGTTTTTCTTAATGGGGATCCACAAAAAACAACGCTTGCGTAAAGATGACTTTTACTTGAATGAGACTGTTGAAACTCTACAACAGAAATCTTGTAACGGAAAGATTACATCGGGTATAAAAAGGATCAAACGCGGATTTGGAGAGGAGCTATTACGTGTTGCACCATGTTTTGGATTTGAAATGGGGGTCAATTAAAAATGCTTGCGCGAAAATAACTTTTACTTGAATGAGACGGTGTAAATTCCACAACAAAACACGTATTAAGAGAGATTGCATCGGTTATAAATAGCATCAAATGCAAGGCGGCCAACATGCAACAAAAAACCTGTGTACAGACACACCCTCCCCTCAGTAAAATGCTCATGTGTAATTCTCCTTTGAAAAGACTTCAACGACTCCTTTTCGAATCTCGGAGTGATTTTCTGTAATAAACACATCTTTTCCAAGATGTTTTCCTTTTTTATCAGTTAAACACTGGGTTACCAGTACAATTTACGATCTCGTTCCAATTCTCCCTCTTACTGGTGAGTAGCCACCTGAAATGCACAGCCTCCGGTGATACCAGGGTGAAGTCAACCGTTGCTTACCTCAAGGCTGAAAAAAGTGATTATAGTAAAATTAAGCGAATTTTTATACGTAGGCCAATGGTAGTTAGGGAAAATTTGAAGAGTTCTTGTGAATACCAATTTGCGAACAGTATTTGATTTCTTTAGCAGGAACTGAGACATAAAATACCAGAAACGTGATGCCTTGGGCGACGTCAAGATTACCTCACTGGAAAAACCCTGAAAATTGCCAAAGTAAGGGAAGAGATATTGAACGAAATATTGAATTGTGGTTGGCAGGTTTTACTTTATCTTTCCATTATTTAAAACATAGCTACCATGTGTTGATGTGTGTATTCGAGATAGGTAGAGGATGAACTCATCCATGGTCTGTGCTACCCAATAAGTAGCCCCTCTCTAGAGCCATCGGACCCACAACGAAGGACACATCGCGGCAGCACCAGTGGAATATCTCGTAAGTTTGTCTACGTTAAATTTCTTACTTCAGTTGATTTCAAATGTGTTTGGTATAGATATTAATGTCGAAATAATGTTAGCTCTGATAAGACTATTCTGTAGTAATTACTTGGTAGAACACGCATTTCGCCTCCTATTTCTTGTAACGATATACTGCACACTATTTGTTGTCAAATTATTTTTACTGATTTTAGTAACTATCACTATTAGTGTTATTTGAACTGTATTCTTTTGTATTAGATGCTTAACACCAGAAGGGAGGAAAAAAACGTTCTGTAATGCCTGAATACTACCTCCGAAGCCTGCTCTCCTTAAGTTGACTATTTTGTTACTAAAGGGACATCAAACTATGACGAACGTTTTGTCATAATTAACGATTTCGTTTTAACGCGATGGCAACGGAATATTGAAAGGAAGTACAGTTATCACTCGGTAATGATACTTTTGTCGTAATTAACGATTTCGTTTTAACGTGATGGCAACGGAATATTGAAAGGAAGTACAGTTATCACTCGGTAATGATACTTTTGTCATAATTAACGATTTCGTTTTAACGTGATGGCAACGGAATATTGAAAGGAAGTACAGTTATCACTCGGTAATGATACTTTTGTCATAATTAACGATTTCGTTTTAACGCGATGGCAATGGAATATTGAAAGGAAGTACAGTTATCACTCGGTAATGATACTTTTGTCATAATTAACGATTTCGTTTTAACGCGATGGCAATGGAATATTGAAAGGAAATACAGTTATCACTCGGTAATGATACTTTTGTCATAATTAACGATTTCGTTTTAACGCGATGGCAATGGAATATTGAAAGGAAATACAGTTATCACTCAGTAATGATACTTCTGTCATAATTAACGATTTCGTTTTAACGTGATGGCAATGGAATATTGAAAGGGAGTACAGTTATCACTCGGTAATGATACCAAATAATCCTACTTGTTTAGTGACTGAATATCTCTTATGAAATTAGGTTACAGTGGAACCCTCTCTTCAAAGAAAATCGCCTCTAGAGCCTGAAATGTCTGGTATCAGTTCTTCAGAGAAATCGTTGGAAAAAAGTTTAAGTTTAAGTTTAGATATTAATTCTTTTTATTATGTAACGTCAATGCGTAGCCAAACCACTCTACGAAACCTATATACAATTGCATTGAACCGAACCTGAACTTGAACACACGCCTCTATAAAATAGGGATACCTCTGATGTTATTGACAGTTCTCTTTAGACCAAAGACACCAAAATTCATGCAATTCCTACCACCATGAGGCTAAACCTTCATAATGTGAACAGTTAATCCTGTACCTTTGGTGTCCGTATTAAAAAGGGCTTGGTTGTTCCTTTCTAACTCTGCAAACTCGGCATGGCTTCGTTAATTGTGTAATGCTCCACGTTAAGTCTGGCATCAAAAGTAGCCCCAACAGTGTTGTTAATTGTTCCTGAAAAAATCCATTGGGAGTAGATGATAAACTATTTACAATTTTACCGTCTTCTGTAGATGAAGGTATTTACATTTTTGCCATTATCTGTGCTACTTGCTTCACTGTAGTATTCCGCCATCTGGAAAGTGTTCCATGAGTGTTTCTCCACGATAAGTTTCCGCTTTACCGACGTTACTAGAAAGTGCACATACATTCATCACCTCGGGGTGACGGGGTGGGGAACTTTAGATAATGGCATAACTCTCGCTGTGTATGTGCCGTTTGCCTCGCAGGACCCTTAACCCATTAGTCTCTATTATGTGGCCAAATATAGACCCCATCTTGTTCACTTTTGGGAAACTGTAACTTTTGCGATCCCAATTCAGTAACTTTCTTTTTATGTAGCTACCTTATAAAGCCTTTTAACAAGACCATCCTGGAGTGAATTGACACACTGGTTAAAATTAATGAAGTAAAAATCTTCCCATTTTTAAATCCTTACCTACCTGACGTTTTTGATCCCCCAAATCAAGAAAAAATGTGAGATCCCATTCTAGTAATTCTAATGAGAATTCAGCCCGATTAAAGAAAATACATTCGTGAAAATGCGACCCCATCCAGACATCAAGACGAGCCATGAAATAGACGTTCGTTGGTACCTATACAGAGGCTCGTTTAAATACACTTTTCTACAATATTTCCTTAAACACTCGTTGCAATCTCAAACAGTTCTAAACAATCCGCTTATCAACAGGTGTTTGTACCATTATCATTATTATTATTAGTCGTACTATGTGACAAATGTTACATGATAATGATTATAATTTTTTTTAAGGTCAAACCCACTCTTCAATATGTGGTTTGCTGTGGTGGCCTTGTTCTTTTCAGCTGCATTCTTGCTTCCAGACGAAATCACTTGCACCAAGGGGATCCGTTATAGTCAAAATCTTAAAAAACCTCTCAGCGCATTAGTCCAAAGTCACTTGGATAGAGCAGTGACTGAACATCAGTCAAGGGTAAACTATGAAAAATTAAAAACGAGTTCACCAAAGACGGTCACAGAAACCAGTTTACCCGGAGGAGGGAAAATAGCAACATTTAGAAGAACTGACAAAATTTCTTTGAAAGAAGCGCTTAACTTCGTGAGCTCAACCGCTCTTTATAACAACGAAGAATACCCTACAGAATTCGCAGTACCAATTGGAAAACGAACTGAAAAGTTTAAACTCACCAAACAGCAAGACGGGTCTTTTACAGTAAACCTTGTACGCAAGGAAAGTAATGAAGAAGTTGATCTAGCTGATCTCCATGACCAAGCAAAAATTCTCTCTGACCCAAAACTGAAGGATCCCTTAAGAGACACAATACAAGACGCGTCTTTGCAAGCCTTAGATGCGAAACTGAACAATCAGCCCGATTTGGAGAGGTCATTACGAATTAACGACCTAACAGGAAAAGTTAGCGCGAAGGAAAGGGATGCGGTCTTTCACGCAGCCACTGATTTTATAGTTGGAACAGCCATAACAGGGAACACCTTGACAGGATTAAATACTGCCATTTGGGTGCAAGGGGCAAACAAAGTCATCATTTCAAAAATGGAGGAGGTTAGGGAAAAGCAAAAGCAGGAGATAGCGGCAGCAACTGAAACGAAACTGGAATTTGAATTAACTCAGAGTATGCTCAAAACCAGTAAAGAGGCAATTGAGGAGTGGAACAAATTGAAGACCCTCGACTCCGCGATACCAGGCAAAAAAATTATTGAAGAGCAAATAATTCAAAAAGGAAAAGATTCTTATTTGAAGGTGACAATCCATGAAACCGACCAAGTATCGCTCAAAGAAATATTTAAGTTAAAACAATTTATTCTTGACATATACCCTGACCAAGGAAATAATCATATAAGATTTGAAGTTCCAATAGGTGGAGAAATGAGAAAATTTCGTTTGATGAAAGCCCCTCAGGGAACTGAACAAATATATGTCATTTCTTATAATGGTGATTGGCCTGGTACCACGAAAAGAGAGAAAGCTGGACCTGAATACGAAGTAATGGTAGATAAATTCCTTAGCAAATTCCCTGACCAATATAAGCTAGCCAAGGTTATGATAAAGGCAGTGGACAGCGCACTTGACAGTCAACCTGATTTCTCAACAGAGCTGAAAATTCCCAAAAAGCCCGCCCTGTCCGCTGACATCATTCGAGCTTCTGTAGAGTTTCTGGTTATTACAATGGTTGCAGAAGCAGCTCAGCCCAGAGATGAGGGCAAAGCCAGTTATTTAAGAGAACTAGCACAGAAAATACAAGAAAAAAAAAGATTCCCCCAAAGTAAAGATATGCCCAGCCTTCAAAATTTAAACGATCCATCCGGGCGAAGTCCAGTAATGGACGAAGTTGTCGAAGGTATGCTTAAAAACATGGGAGAAACAAACATAAGAAAAATATTTACCAGCAGAAAATTTCCTCCAAGACGTAAGAATGTTGGATCAAGGGTAGGGCGCGAATGGCTGCATAAAAAATTACAAGGGGATACCATAGTTCCTTCGTATCTTATCCGCAAACGTGCTGCTAAAGAACACGATCGAGAGCTTATCTCCAACAAGGTCTCCGAAAATTGTGAAAGACGCCGAAAGAAGCGCTTTGCCTGTTTAATGAGCAATAAAGACCCTCTTACTGTTGATGAAGAGTCTATCAAAATTACCAAGGACAAGGTTGAATTTGATGTGGTACATCGCCGTCATGCAAAAGAACGAGAGCATGTTGAGCTGAAGATAACTCCAAATGAACTGGCCACTCCTAGGCTGATTATGGATAAGGTTATAAATTCTCAAAGGGCCGGAATGGGTAAGGTCTACGCTAAAGTCAATAAAGGTTTAGCAGTTCACGGTCTTATATTTTCAGTTCTCGGCGCTGTCAACTACTTTCAGGAAGGCGATAACCTTAGAGGTGCCATTTCCTTGGCCCAGTCTGCCCACACACTGGCAGGACTAACTGGCCTCAGTGATATTATCTCCAAGGTGGAAAGTAGAGTCATAAGCCGTGCAGCTGAGGGGTTGGCAAAAACCTTAAATTTGGAGAAAGGCTTGGAAAAGTTATCCGTCAAAGTAGAAAAGTTCGCAGAGAGAGGGGTAGGAGAGTTGCTTGGAGATATCCCCGTTGTGGGACTCGCATTTGATATCTACTTTATTGAACAGGACATAGAACAATTGGCTAATCTAAATCTTGATGACCCAGACGACCTTAAACTTTTACCACTTCGTGTGATCGATTTAGAACTGGACGTTAGCACGACGGTTTTAAATCTAATAGGAACACTTTGTCCGGCAGCAGAAGTCGTCACTGAGCCTCTTGTTATTGTCCTCTCTATAATACGAATGGCAATTGACGACTTCTACATAGATATTATGGCGGAGATGGAAAAGGTTAATTGGAAAAGCCCGTGGGCGGGATTAGAGTTCCTTGGAGCTTTGGTAAAGGGGTTTTTAGAAGGTGCTGCAGATTTACTAACAGGTGGTTTACGTCGACAGATGGAGTCCTACAGAAAGCAGGAAGAATATGACGAAAAGCTTATTCGGGATTTGAAAAACCCTGATAATTATTACAAGATTGTTGGTAAAAAGAAGGGGGGTGGGGGTAGAATTGATTTTACCCAAGGAAAACTTTCCAGCTTTGGTGGCTATATCAACTTCAGGCTTAATGACAATAATCGAGCTACTTTAGAAATCGGAGATGTCAGTGGAAGTCATAATACAATTCGTAAGACGTTTCAGGTTGGTTCAGATGTTCAAGATATCGTGCTTGGAATAGGAGAGTCGAGGACTTTCGAATACAAACACAAAACGGCCAAGCTGTGGTTTGTTATTCCAATTAAGTCATACAATGTTATTTGCGGTGCAAATTTGCACGAAAAATCAGTTTATGGAACTTATTATGGAAACTCTAAGGACAACAAATTTTATGCCGTACAGAAACCAAAGCCAACAACAAAACCCACAGGAAAAAAAGGTGGAGATTGTAACTTTGGAAAACTGAATCTTAAATTTGTTACCGGAAATTACCATTATAATTTGTATGGGCGGGGTGGAAGTGACACCTTTTACCTCGGACCAGAGATGTCCGCTGTGACTGGAGGAACTGGAAGTGATCTTTACATTATTCAATCAGACGGCGGAAAAACAATTATCGATAATTTTGCAGAAGATAACGTGCGAGACATTATTGTTATCAATGTTGACTATGCCAGCATCCGATGTTATCAGACTGGAGTTGATCTTCACCTGTCTTATTCCAAGAGTCATCACATTCGTATCAAGAACTGGTTTGTTCCCGGAGATCCCACCTACTACCGTCACGTCTCATTTCGAAGTCAGGATGGAGTCGTTTTCGTCCCAAAACAGGTTTTGAATAGCCAAGATATACATGTTGTTCAGTGTGTGGCAGTGGCTCTAGATTTGGGTGCAGCAAAGAAAACTCAAACTGTCACACTTAATGATTATAGATATCGTCAAGTCAAACAAGTATCGGGTTCCAATAGCTCTGATAACATTTTCGGTAATGATGTAAATAACATCTTGGATGGAGGTCTTGGAGTAGATCACTTGTATGGAGGGAGAGATGAGGACACTTACATTATTAGAGCAAATGAGGGATGCGATGTAATTGATAATGATGCAGATGATTACTTGAACACCACTGACATCGCGGTATTCGAAGTACCCTTTAAGATGATAGAAGTTCAAATAATTGGTAATGACCTCCTTTTAACAGACCGGAACAATGTCCAAGGATCGTGCTTTAAGATAGCAAACTGGACTTTAGGGTACCGGTATAGACATATTCTCTTTACGTCTGGCGATCACGTTGTCTTTAACGTCTCCACCAGCGAAGACGGTAGCGTGTTTAAAGAACCAATCATACTAGATTACAAAACGTCCGCAACCGGAGTCTGTGTAGATTTGTCAGATTTACCGAGTCCAAAGTGCATCAAACCCAGTGGGTACGCTAAAATAGCCACAGTTTCTGATTCCCCACACAACGATTACATAGTGGGAAATGCACAGACCAACTTTTTAAGCTGCACTGGGGGAGAAGATTATCTTGAGGGTGGGGAAGGTACTGACAATTATGTTGTCAAGAAAACATGCCAGAAAGCAGTAATCAACAATTTTGACAGTCGCATGAAAGCGGATGTAGTGTACTTGGAGGAAACGTTTATAAACGTACAGCTGAAGCGAAATGGTGATGATTTGAGGGTAGTCTCAAGTCATGGGACACCCACTGTAGCACTTCAAAACTGGTTTAACTCCTCCAAGTACCAACATCTTGGGCTAAGGACTATCGATGGAATTACGCTTAGAATAAACAGTAAGACGTTGAAACTCGAACCGTATGAGGTATCTAAGGACCCTAGTGAATGTCAATGCAAGCAAGTGGGATGTGACAAAGGAGTGGTAACATATAATCTTACTAAAGATCCTTGGCAAAACGTGGTCCGCTTTGAGTTGAAATCAAGTCATTGCAGTTATAAAGTTTACGGAAACAAACTTAACAACTATCTTGATCCCGGAGCAGGCAGTGGTTATAATTACCAACATTTGGAAGGGAGGAATGGATCAGATACTTACGTGTTAAACCACGGATATGGCGAGTTTAATGAAATCAATAACTATGCTGAAGATAGCAAGACAGACACCCTTGAGCTTGGTATAGAGTTTGATGATGTTGGCGTAGACTTTCACAGCCATTATGATGCCATTCTTGGATCCATTTCACGACCCACCTCACTTGGTGTTCTAATTTTAGATTACTTCCGTGGGGCGAAGTATCAGCATCTACAGATAATATCCGCGGACAAGGTGGTATTTAATATCGTCGACAAATACCCGTACAAAAAGGTTGTGGTCGTCGACCGTAGAACCATTGATTCACCACAAAACATTGATCCTTTAAGAAATGAAATAATTGGAGGAGCAGAAGATTTAAAGGGATCACTCACCTCTCCCAATAACCTGACAGGTAGTGACACAACAAAGGAAATTGAAGGTGGTGCTCAGGCCGACACTCTACATGGAGGCGACAAAGGAACAATTTTTGACGGGAAACAGGGTAACGACAGATTTTTTGCTGGTGTTGGTAATGATATAATTTTTGGTGGGGAAGGTGATGACGTCATCTTAAGCGACAACGGGGATGATTACGTCTATGGTGGTGATGGTGCAGACTTTATTGATGGGGGTGAAGGTAGTGATACCCTCGCTTTCAAAGGCGATGGTTTCCGTCACCAGGGAGTGACAGTTGATCTCAGAATTGGCTTTGGTAAAGGAGCAGACGCAGAAGGAGATACCTACAAGAGAATTGAAAACGTATATGGCACCATTCACAATGATGTTTTAATCGGAGCTGACTCTGATAACAATCTTTTTGGACTTGAAGGAGACGATTCACTTGCTCCTCATGGTGGCGCTGATAAACTTGTTGGCGGTGAAGGACAAGACAGTTATTTACTCTATAAGGCCTTTGGACTAAAAGTTATTGACAACTACGCGGATGATGAAGTTAAAGACACGCTGTCCTTGGTTGATTTAAATTCCACCGATGTGTGCATCTTTTTAGTTGGAAACGACTTACATCTACAAATCGAGAAAACTAACTTGGCGTCAGTTTTTTATCACGGCGAAAATTTAGCAGTGATTATCAAGAACTGGTATTTAAATGCAAAATACAGACACCTTAATGTGCTCTTCAGTAACACTCTGTGGGAAGATTTTGCATTATTCGCCATAGCAGGAAGATTGGAGAAGCTTGGGAATGGTACCCGTTTCATTGAAAACAAAAGTAACCTGCAGGTTGTGTCTTCGAACTCTACCGACGTTACCTTGTCTTGGCAACCAACAAATAGCGTTTTGTCCAGTACAGAAACCGAAATATTTCTTGTACATTTCAAACAGCCGGAACCCAAATCCTTAGTGAAAAGACATGTAGATATTAATCAGACATCAGTAACTGTCTCGTCTCTTGATCCAACCTTCCACTATGTCTTCGCTCTCGCGTTAACAAAGTGCAAGGCGACAATTGCGGTATCCCATACTCTTACAACTTACGGACGCCAGAGACCCTGCCCCGTAGCAAAAATACCACACTCCACTATGCAGTACACACCCCCTACTAATGCATTAACTCCTGTTCATGGCACAATTGCAAATGTGAAATGTAATGCGGGATATCACATTCACTTCCATCACTCCCAAACGAATGTCACATGCTTGGACCATGAATGGATCCCCTCCCTTCCGATTTGTAAGAGAAAGAAAGAATGTCGTGTTCTTACAAAGCCACCAAACGGGGAGGTTTCCTCTAACGGTAATCACGAAGGGTCAAAAGCTTACTATAAATGTCACAAGGGGTTCCGGCTTCAGGGACGGAAAGCACGCACCTGTGTAGATGAAACCTGGGACGGAAATATTCCTAATTGTCTGCCCATAAATTGCCCAAAACCACCATATGTTCATAACGGATCGTACATTTCTTGTGATTATATGAAGCATGTAAAAGCATACGGAACAATAAATAGTCCCCTTGAAGGATACTGTGTCAAGCTTCAATGCAAAAACTTGTTCCTTCCAAGTCACGTATTTCGTGGAAAGACGTATCGCCCTCGATGGGAAAGTGACTGGAAGATTCCTCAGGGTGGACGAGTGTGCAGCGATGGAAAGTGGATTGGTTATGTGGAAGACACTTGCCAACCAACTGCTAGACTTGTCAACGTTGCGAAAAGCTGGAGTACAATAAGTGGCTTGCTTCAACTTTGGCAAAATGGTGGATGGACCTTCGCTTCATCCACCCCGACACAGAACACTCTCAACCTTTCTTGCAAAAGTGTAGGAATAGAGTCTCCTTACTATGTAAAACATGGTTCAAGAGGTTCCAAAATACTCGTAACATGCTCCAAGCTGCGTTTTACTCAGCCGAAGCCAACTGTTTACCAAGGAAGGGTTGAAATGTTAAATCAAGGCGTCTGGGAAGGATTATGCGTCACGGAAAGAGGTACACAAGCTGCAAGCAAGAGGATTTGTGAAGCACTTGGATTTAACTACAAATCTGCAGTTGTGAGCATCAGTACTGGCTGGACAGACCACTCGTTTGATTGCCATCCAAAGCAAATATTTTTTCCAAAAAAGAAGAATTCTAAGACGCTCAGAATTCCGAGAACGAGGTAAGAATCGAACTCACGACCCTCCTAATTCTAGTTCAGGCTCTCTAACTACTTGGCTACTTGAGGCACAATGGCCAAACTTGCTCAATTATGTTCGATTATGAGTATTAATGACAAAAGCTCGTTTGATGGGGAAGGTAAATAGGTAGGGGGGGGGGTGGCTTAATATTTAAATGAGCGAAGATAATGGTATCAGTTTTGCCTCTGTAAAGAACTTAGAAAGCAAGGTGGAAAAATTTTAAATACAATAAAGTTGCAGGAGGTTATGCAGCCGAAGATAAAAAGAAAATACGAACTTTTAGCACGACAAAGAACCATACCAGAGCAAGTCGCATATTAAAGAGTTATTAATGACGTTGTAAGGGAATAATAATCAGCAAGGGGACAGGTTTTTTTTTTAAGAAAGAAAGGGGTTGGAGTATTGAACTTCTTTCCCTGAAAAAAAAAGGGGGCCTCCAAGAGAAGAGAGGTGCTCATTTGACACGGAAGGCGGTAATAGTGGATTTAAGGTACTTTGCTGGCTGACAAATTAATGTTTCTAGGCGCAGTTACTGAGATCCCGAAAGACTGTTCCTCTTAAATAGTTATCAAAACGCTGTGATGAAGAATGTGTTAATTGCGTCTGTGAATACGTATTTCCTTTAGAGATGGTCTCCCTTATCAAGATTGGCCGTTTGTGGAAAGGTAAGTAATTCTTTTTATTGCATGGCCACAATAGTGCGCATGCTCTGATTGGCTACTAAGCGGCCATGATTATTTTAATGTAAATGCACGTATTCGTGCACTACTAGCTACGTGTCCAATGCATATGATAGTCTGTGTTTAACTTGCTAGTGGACATCCTTATCCTCTAAAAAGTTTTTTTTTTTTCACTCGGGCATATAAATAGGTGAGTTAGACCCTCTTAATTGTGGCAAAGAGGGAAGTTGTATTCGTGTTTGGGGTCTAGGCTAGAACTAGCATAGCAGTTCGCCTTGAAAGAAAGGCAACTAACGAAGAACTCTTCAATAATGTGGTTCAAAAACTACGGATAGTTGTTCGCCATCCGCTGCGGAGGAAATGAACACAGAACGAATAAAAGCAAGGAGAAATGTAGAAAAAGCAGTAGGTTAAGGCACTTTTTTGTACATTCCTTTGCCGTTCCTTCATGACCACGAGTTGAAATTGCCTAAGGTCCATTTTCAGTTACAGGTGGAAACGAGGCTGTGGTTGACCTTGTTTTTATACAGCCCTTTCATCTATATTATGTAAATCGCAATGTTCTTAGAGCGATTTTCGTATGACCTTGAAAAATGGTTTCCGTAAGTGTTCGTTATTTGTTTTATCAGCCAATGGATGAAAAGATCAAAACATGGCCCCTTAGTTTTCCCGCCAAAGAAAACCCTAATATGGAGAGTATGGGTTGGTTTCTAGAAAGTTCTCGGGCATGAAGTTTTTTCACCCGAGTGTTCGCTTAACCAACCAAAAGCCACCCGCGTTTGTATGTGTTCGATAAACCAATCAAATCGCTCTATTTCTGTTCGTTTATTGTTTCTGTATTGTTCGCGCGTTTTTATTTCAAGGTCATACGAAAATCGCTCTAATAATGCTAATTAACTATATTCTTGGCATAGTTTCTATTAGAAAAGAAGGGAGGTTTGTACCAAAGGTCAACTTCAGCCTCACGTTAGCTTAGAGGCTAGGGCACTAAGGCCACAACCGAGGACCTAAACAAGCGAAGGCGAATTTTCCTTGCTCTCTCTGTACTTGGAATTGGTTCTTAAAGTGGCATGATTTTTAGAAGGGGTTTTCAGCGTCAATACCTCCGAAATTAGAGCATAAACTACTTCGCCATCAATAAAGATTTGGAAAAAAATTATCGCTACAGCTGTATTAGATAAAGATGAAAATTTCTAATGATCAGAATTACAATGGCATCAGAGTTGTCATAGCAACGAAATGGCGCAGTTACCTATTTTACTTGCAGCTGTATTTCTCGGCACTGCTCGTTCTATAAACGGGACTGGGAAGTGCGATAATCATTATGAAAGTAACCAATAACAACAAACTGTGTTGACTTTTTTTTTTCTTTTTTACTCTTGAAGATGTTCTTTGAAGAGAAAAAGACTTCAGTGTGGTACCATGGTACGATGCAGACAGAGATGTAGTGACAGTTACCCAGTTCCTCATGGATATACCACATGTTCGGGAACTAGTTATGAAGATGACACATGCGCAGTTCATTGTCACAACGATTACAGACTTAAAGGAGACTCTAAAGTCTACTGTCACGGAGGAGTCTGGACAAAGCAAAGCGGAAGACCCGCCTCATCTCACTGCGAAGATATAGGTGCGTATCAATTTATTTTCCCCTGGCATTGTCATTCATATAAACAAAGTTTTTTTACATTCAAAATATCTTTAAAGGATCTACGTAACGCTATTTGTCATCCTTTTACTGTCCTTTTAAATTGCACGCGAGCTCTTAAATTTAAAATCCAGCTTCATTGGGTTTTTCACTACGAAAGATTGAAAAGCACAGCCATTTCTAGTCTTTATGGTTTAAGATTGCATCCAAAAATGGGAAGAGAAATCACACATTTATATAGTGGGTAAGGTTTTTCCTTAATCCTAAAGGACGCGAGAGAGAAGCTGTCAATAGGGACTTTAAGATCCAACGACGCTGACGACAGCGAGAACGTCAAAAAACAAGTGGTTTAATCAGCAAAACAACAACTTCGCTCGTGCATCACACTTTTTTGTACATTTCTTTCCCGTTTTTGCACGACTAGGACGTGAAAATGCCTAATTTCGCGTTTTATGGAGGACGTAAACAACCAACGACGAAACACATCCCAAACTATGACCTTTTAAAATTGTTCGAGTAAACATCTGTTTCCTAATTTACACTGATAGGTAACCATGCAAGATTTAAAAAAAGAAAAAAACGTACTTTAAGGGAGATGTGCAACATTGATATCTAAGAATCACTTACCAATATGGTGGTCTGTATGTGTGATTACGAGATCTATATTATTTTATTTGACATCAAAATTCAGTGGGGCGCAAGAACTTCATAATGCTTCACATTATAGAAAAGCCGAATTCAATAATTTTTTTATTATTCATTCAAAATATTTCTAAGTTCTAAACATGCTCACCCCTCCCCTTAGATTTTCTTCTAAACTTTGGCTTTTTGTCTGACGCGGTTTTAGGATATAATTATATAAACAGACGTTTTCAAAAAGTTAATAACATCATTCGAGCAAAATGGTATACGGCTTAGTTTTGCATTTCTTTGAATTCGTTCAGTTCAGTTTTGGTTAGAAATTCAGCTATTTCATCTTCGGGCATAGCTACGGTGAAAGCCATTTTGATCGATGTTCTATTGCCCTTGAAGCTTCGGTCTCTATAATTCTTGAGATGATACGAAAGCCGAATGCCATTGTTGTTAAATAGTATTTGGCTACAATAGAAACGCGCTCTGCTCTGATTGGCTGCTGGGCGGGCAAGATTTTCTTTCACAACTAGGCATATAACAATTCTTCGCGGTTCGACGGCACTTTTATGTTGTAACTATTTAAAAGGTACGAGCGCGATGGCAAAAACTAAAAATACTGACAAAGCATAACCATCTCTTTAATACCTGGAAGGAAAATACTAGCGTACCGATACTTTATTGGTATGAGCGCACGACGAAGGGAGCCACAGCAAGAGTGAGTTTTAAAAGCATCTTTTCAAAATAATTTGCAGAAAAGTCACGTTCACTTATTCGTATAAATCATCAATAAAAAACGTGAATCAATTGTAGACATGCAACTTTTTTTTGTTGGCATGTCTTTATACCCATTTAGAACTATTTAGAACATTAAAAAAGTTGTAATTTATTAACTAGGGCTAACCAGAATATAAGAATAATGAATGTGTGGTAACGTTACAACGGTATTACAGAGCTAAATCAGCTGGAGCTAACTGTTAACGTAGAATCGGAAAACGAGTAGATCAAAACTCCAATTATAGTATGCCTCTTTCTTAAAAGTTAAAAGGGGGTGTTTATAGATGTCCTGCATTACAGAGGGAAGCACAACTGAAGCACTGCTCTACGGAAGGTTTGGTTTTTACATCTCCATATTGATGTGGTAACTCTCATACCGATATCAATCCTATTGTTTTCAATTTGATTTCAGACACTTTGTTCAGGAATGACCTTCAGAGGCTTGTTCGGGAAAACAGCAAAATGAGTCACCGTGACTTGGCAATATTCTTGAGGAATTACTTGGACAGAAATTATCCTAAACAATATTGGGTGATTACAGTATATGACCCGGTTACGGGCTTTGATAAACACACTTTTGTAGATGGCGATCGTGTTGGCAGCAAATTAAGATATTATGGGGTAAACTATGTTGTTTTCCGATATCCCAAATATGCCTCTCGCTCTCCCAGAGTGCCAATCTCCCGTGTCATAGAGTCGGTAACTGGAAGTAACGCTAAAACTGTTTGGTCAAGTATCGACAAAAAGTTTGCAGCAAATTTGCAAAGTTACGCCTTTATCCACGTAATAAGGGAAATTAAGCAGTACGGTATGTATTATGGTTGCGGGAACTCGAAACCGAACGTTTTGACAAATTATTACACTACAAAATCTGAATCATTTCCATCACAAAATTATTTTCATAAAGAGTTTCCAAATTTTATAGTCATTGCCGTTGCTCCTGGAAATTATATTTGAGCGTATTAATTTCAACAGAATATGTTCAGTCAACACTATGATGGCATTTTATTTGTATGGTCATATCTTACGCTATAAGTGACATCGGGTGTAGCCAATACTGCAGGCATTTTTTAACGGAAAGTCTACAAAATTTCATTCATCCATCCATTTATTCATTCATTAATTTTTTGGCAGCCGCCATCTTAAAAAAGTAAACAGTCCAGAGCATTTCCACTTTTGGAAATGTTTTGATCCGCGACCAAAACAAACAATTACCCAATCATAGTGCAAATTTGGAGTCATGTAGCCTGCGAACAGCAGACGTATTTCCAATCGTCTCTTCTCTCCCTCCGAAATAGCGGAGGACTCCGAACTCCCTCCGAACTCCCTCCGAAAAATAACGGAGGATGAGACGCGACGAGCGGGGCAATCTCCCGGGGCTTCAATCTGTACTGTCCACGCGGAACCGAGTTCGTTCAAGTTGCTTTTGTAAACCTAACCTCGGTAGGTGGGAAGTATATCCTGGTTCAGTTAAGGAAAGCGAAATTTGTGAAGACAACGGTTCTAATTTCTATTTTTACTGGTCGGGATAAACTGTTTGCAGAAAGAGGAAAAGTTTTCGAAGGATTTCGGTCTCTGAGAAAACGGTTTACTGTGGGCCCAGCGTGACAAACCTTAGTAGGGATTTATCATGCAGTAATTCCCAATTAACCAGGCATTTCGGTGAAATCTAAAGAAACTAAAAATCGTCGTTGAAAGGTTATTAATAGTCGCAGTAAAAACCTATAACCCTTTCATAGACGTCAAAGAATTGAACTAAAATGCTAAAACTCTGCATCAGAGGCCAAATCTCGGTCAGATACAAAGACCACAGGAAATCAATTTGCTTGAAACGGCTCTCTTCATGACCTCTAAATGTTTATGCAGCTTGCAAAAATTAATTTCAAATTTCAAATTGAACAATATACAACAGCATAATTAACCCGCTTGAAATGGCATTTTTACACGATGCGAGCCATGCGAAAGAAAAATAAAAAAAAAAACAGAAAAAGCAGTGATACGAAAAAACATAACCGAAAGCTAACCGTTATAAATGAGTGTTTGACGGCAAAAAAACGCTTAACCTGAATCCGTAACTTTTTTTGCCCAAAAGCAGCGTTTAACCCTAATCCGTAAAGCGAGTGCTTTTTTCAACCCTAGTCAGCTGAGTCAGTAAGCCCTAATCAACACTGCGTAATTCTGCAAGTATTCCCTCAGCAAAACCTCGGAACTAAGCAGGGGACATTTTTCATGCATTTACAATTTTAAAAAAATATATTTTTCTTATGGCTCGCATAACTCGCTGGGTCGCAGATTTTCCGGATCCGGTCAGCTTAATTAACCCCAGGAATAACATGTGAAAAGGTCAATAACTAGTAACTTTTTCGATCTCCAAGTTCTGTTACCAGTTTTTATAAATAGGTTCCATGTTGCCGTGCGATCACAGATGACGTCAAAATGTGGTAAAAACAAAGAAGTTGCACAACGAGCCGCAGGCGAGTGTGTCCCCGATGTTTTTACCACATTTTGATGTACCGCGTCTTCTGTGATCTATTACTGAACAGACCCACGGCAACATGGAACCTGCTTGTTTTATACAATGATCAGAAAAGAGAAAAGACCTATACAACGCAGCATTGATAATGGACCACTTGTTGGATTTTATTACATGTTGTCGGTGGACAAGTGGTTTAAACCGTAAAAATAACGCTTGATCCCGTCCAAAATATAGGCCATGTAGCCTCTGCCTTCGTGTTGCTCTCCACGCAGAAGGCGGTCATGTTGCTTCAGACTATTGCTTCGCAAAAAAATCCGGCGGCCCTTGTACTAGATGTGCAGCCGATCTCCACATTTCACATGAAATAGCTAAAATATTCCGAGAATGTCCAGATGATTTTTTCAAGACCAGAAAAAAAATTTTTACGGACGATATTCCCAAGTGAAGATGATAATATAGCACGCAAAATTGACCGAAAATTGACTCGTAGATCAAAAGAAAATTTCACTTTATCTAATATTTCAAATCCGTTGTTCATTACCTTATGCATAGGCCTTCTACCGTTTCTTTTTCGTTGTTGTGTTACAAAAAGGCGAGCAAAGACCGCTGGAAAAACGAGAAACACAACAGATTTCCAAGCCCACTCGAATCCGCTCGAGGATATTTCTAACCACCATGATGTGACGTCACACCATTGTTTTGCACTTTTTCAAAAGTGGAAAAGCTCTGGACTGATAAAAGAGAGGGATAGGGAAGGCGGGGAGAAGCCATGTTTACCTCAGGATCATTTTTTGACTTTCCTGAGCTCTCTGTCAGTTTTTAAGTTCGAGATGGCGGAAGGGCATTGACTCATGATCAAGGCATTTGGAGAAAAGCCCGGGGGGAGGGGGGGGGGGTACTGCCATATATATGGGCTATAGGTGGTTTTCGTGCAATCTCGGGAGACACAAATAACAATGGAGGGAAAGAAGAGAGGGGGGGGGGGGAGGGGGTGCGGTCCTTTTCTCTCCTAGTTTTTTTTTTTTTTTTTTCCGTTGTTTTTGGTTTTTTTTAGGGGGCGGGGGGGGGGGGGGGTATTAAACAATGAGAAGAGGATGGAGAGAGAGGGGGGGGGGGGGGGGGGGGGGGTACTGCCATATATATGGGCTATAGGTGGTTTTCGTGCAATCTCGGGAGACACAAATAACAATGGCGAAATGAACAAATGCTGGTGGACAAACAAAGAGAGCTAATGAGCGATCTTTTGTTTACTGTCCACCAGCATGGCGGCGATGACGTAACGTGAAAACCACCCTATAAAGGTATGTGCCGCTGTGAAGGGTATGGTTTTCAAGCAGTTTACTCCAGGATAGGGTATATAAATCAACTGATCAGTTGGTTGAAGATCTTATGTAGACTAGGGATTGTGGTATAAGGTTTTGTTTTGGCTAGACTGTGTTAGTGACCTCAGTAGTTTCTGGAAAACAGCTACTCAGCTGAGCTACTCTAGGATAGGGGGATTTGGGGAGTTTACTCTAATATAGGGTAGCAAAATTCAGCTGAACTAGCTCTGGTATAGGTTAAGGGTCCCAGTGGCACATCCCCACCCTGAAATTCCTAAAGTACCCCCCCCGGGGGGGGGGAGAAAAGAAAGCGTTAAATTAAGAAAAGAGTTAAACACCCACAGAATTGATTTGCAACACCAACATGGCTCCTTGTACTTTGAAGCTGCTATGTTGAGTATGTTGCAGTGAGTTCCACATTTTTTGGTTGAAGTCGACCTGAAATGATAACAAAGTATGCTTAGTCATATCAATTTTTTCATACTAACACGGAGCTCAGAAAGAAAGATATCAAATGATTCTATCAGTTGGAAATCAAAACTTAGTAAACTTTTGGTCACTTTCGAGAACTCAAGAGTCTAACTAAAAACATAGGATTATCTTTGAAACAAAGTGTATTGTCAACACTAATCTATACTCTTAAGTATCTTAACTCGCTCTAGTACTGCCACTTTGTTCCATTTAACATTAGACAAGGCTACAGTAGCAAGATATCTAAACGGCACAACCTAGAATAAAGATTACAGTTTTCAGGATCTGAGTAATCATGACACTGCCTTATAGTGCAGTTGATGAAGAATAAACTTACGTTGGTCCAAAACTAGTGGCTCTATTTTCTATACTCCCATTAACTTATAATTATTAAAGACCCGTAAAATCGTAACCAGCGATCGGTCGTTTCGTTGTATGACTGATTGATTAGAGAAGATGTGATCGCAGGCTAGTCACAAACGTAGCGAGGTACGCTTTCCTTCGGCTAAAGCCTTAGTCAGCCGCTCCTGATTTAGTTTCTACCGAAGCCATATGTAAGGGTATTCTCGGGGATCCGGGAATTGAAACAAAAAGTGGGATACGGAAAAACGTCAATTTTCTTGGCGCGATAAGGATTTGGTGCGTATTTGATACGGGATTTGGCGCGGGGTACGGCATGGTATTCGGAATAGAGGTAACAGATGCTCAAGATACGGGATTGTAGTGGAAAAGGAGCTGAAATGAGGGATAAGGACCTCCCCTTCTAGACCTTCATATCTGCTTACTTCAAACTCAATACACTCTAAATAGAGTGTATTTACATGACGTCACGGCGGCCATATTGATGCTCCAAAACAATGAAACGGCGGCCATGTTGGTGTACCAAGACAACCCCGTTTGAATTGAACGTTCTTTTGTTCGTATAAATTAGCATAAGTGCTCACCTCGTGAGTGGATACGATCTACATATTTTATCAGAATATTAAGGCTGAAATTTGTTAAATTTTAAGAATATTTCAAGAATGAACCCGAGGCTGAGAGTTTGAAAAGGACCCAATTTTGTATGTTGAAAATCTGTAAATAAAGCACAATTATATGTTTTGACTTAACCGTATAAACATGATTAAACCTTTCCCTCAACGTCGCTGGAGACAGATCTAAACCCCAATACAAATATAAAGTAGAAATGCCATACGCTATCAATAGTTTATAATTACGAATAAGTTAAGAATATTTCAGCCTCAGCTAAAATCGACTGATAAAATAAAAATATTCAGCTTGGAACCGAAAAACAGCATTCTTATATAAAAAAAAGAGTGTATGGGAAATAAAATACCACGGGCGCAATTATGAAACTATGAGAACACAAAATCACGTCAGTACCCACAATTCTTAAGGGATAAGTTTCGAAACTGAATTGGTCACGTTGCGTGAAGAGTCTAGCACTCGATCGTTTATGAAGGTTTGTTTTAAACGTCCTTGGCATGCTCCCTGTGGTAAGAACTTGCAACAGATGTCCAAGAAAAAAAGCCGTCTTTAGATAAAGGATCACAATGGAACCCCGCTTTACGAACGCCAACATAATACGGACGCCTCGTTATTACGAACAGTTTTTCTTGCCCCGAACCCTTACCTCCCCCCCCCCCGGTCCTAGCTCAATGCCAGTTGATCATGTCTTTACAGAAGAA